TTATAATAAAATTTTATTAGTAAGTCTGAAATTAATGTATTAAATGATTACGTATAACATTTTTTTTTAATTTAATAGAGATTCAACAAATTTTTTCCATTACTAATTTATAGTGGCACAAATTAATTAACATTTATGATGTGGCTGTTTCAGTGGGTGAGAAAATAATAATGGAGATGTAACTAATGAGTCCGATCATTGTCTTTGATGTGGAAAGTAACATGTAATGGGAGAAGAAAACGTGTACAAGAAAACAACAAAGTTGACTTTAAAATTATTTCTACATTTTCCCACTATTTCACTTTGCCCCAAAGTTACGCATATCTTTAATTACCGGAAACTTTTAGGGGCATTTGATTTATATAATCTTAAATTGTGAGAGAAAGTGTGATTTTTGAAAAGTAGCGATATTCAAATTTTTTTTTCATCTTCAAGATATTTCATATTAAAATTCATTCGTTTGATTAAAAGAATTTATATTATTAATTTTTGAATAATTATCATATTTTTTTTAATATAAATGATGATAATTTTTTATTAATAATAAATATCCACTATAAGAAAAGGTAAATTTTTATTTCAAAATTTTAAGTATTGTTAAAAATTTATCATTTTTTTTTTGAAATCAGATTATCTTAATCTAAATGTTAAAATTAAATACCCAACAATAAAATTTAAAAAAAAATACATAAATTCTCCTGAAACCAAAGTCCGCTTAATACATAGCCTTCAAAATATATATATATATATATATATATATATATGAAAATATCATCTTCATGTTTTAAATGCCGGGCTTTGATTTTATTGGTTACGTACTCCCCTCAGGGAAGAATTTAAGATTTCATTTAGCCCCCCTTTTTATTAGCTAAGAAAATTAATTACACATTTTTAATCTAAATTTTAGAAATATACATGTTAGTACATAAAAAAAAAATTTAATTTGTATATTTGAAATTTGAAATTATGTTATCTACTTTTGTTTATCAAAAAATACATTATCATCATTAAGTCAACTCACCTATGTGACGTTTTCAATAACAATATGTTATCACTTAACGTGCATACCAACTATCAGCCTTCTTTTTCACCTCCCTGCGGTAAATATATATTCCGTCACAGACTAACCAGCTAAGATATTCCAAGCTATACGTAGCATACATGGAATCCACATAAATTTTTTACAAAATATTTAGTGTTTCTATATATTTAACAAATGCCGCATACATGTGGTGCAATTTTATAAATTAGTTAGAATATGCCGTGTAAGTGAGTTGGGATTCCGATTAACATGGGATATTATTTAAAAGTTAATTAAAATTCAACATTCTTTTCATTCACGTATATTTTGTATATGTTATTGTAATTTAGACACCAAACGTGTAATTTAACTTAAAAACATGGCAAATTAGAGATAATTCCTTAGACAATCAGTTAAGAATGGTGCGGCTTCATCTAATCTTCTGATTTTGATTCGGCTATCAAGTGGCATAGTAGGTGAAGAGTTCAAATCCTGCTGCTATTAGTTGTTATGAATAAACAAATAAATCGGAAGATTCACGTATGAAGCAGTAGCAGCCAGCAGGCTTTCTTTGCATGAAATAAATTAGAACAGTAGTGACGGACTTGTCTTTCATTTCACACTAGAAGTGATTTAGCATCCGTTTGGATTATAGGTATTGTTATTAAATTTATTGTACTTTTAATTAAATTTAAATATTAATTTTAATAAAATTAAATTAATATAAATTTTTTATTAATTTATTTAAATTATAAGTATAATAATTTTTTTTAATTATAATTATAATAATTTTATTATTATTTTTAATTTTATCATAACCAATTTCATTGTCTATTCCAGTAAAGCCTTAGAATAACAGATTGCGAAGGTTGTCTTGTGCGCAGAGCAAGTTTTCGTTGGAAAAGAAAAAAAAAAAAAATCTGTACCCGGTTATATCCGAACAGTGATAGATTTCTCCTGAACCTTGCAGGAAACGACGTCTTATAAGAATAAGAATAAGAATTTCCTTAAGTAAGCGGAGCTAGCTAGTTTCCTGCATAAGTTCACACCGAAGAAACGTAGCCTTTAGCACAGTTTAGAATTTAAAATCTTTAATTTCAAAGTTTTAAGTTGAAGGTCTACGATAATTAAGGGTTTATTGAATAAAATATGATTACTTAGCGTGGACATTTCATGTGTAACCAAAAAAAAAAAGAAACACTGGAAGAGTAATTAAATTAAGATATAGTACTATGAGATTGATTTAATTAGATCTAATAATTTGTATATTTATATTATATAAAATATTAAAAATTTATATATTTATATTATATTTTATATGAAAATTATTATTCGTATTAACATAAAAACATAAAATATTTTTTATTTTATTAAATTTATTTATAATTTTAAATCATATTATTTTTATATTTTTTATTTATATTATATTTTTATTATATTACTCATATAATATTTAAAATTATCACCTATAAAAGTTCAGTGGAAATCCTCCCCACCGCATCAAAAAAAATTTATTATTTTTTGGTGCGGTCCAAACATTTCCACTTATCTCTTAGATGCAACGTTAACGGGATAAATTCATTGTCCTGAAGTAGGTTTTTTTTTTTTTTTTTGGAATTTCAATTCACCCCATTAAGGTAGTGGTTTTTTGCTAGTGTTGTCATCAAATAGCATTCAATTTTAAACTTTCAAGAGAAAAAAGAAAAATTAAAATTAAAAGGTCAAAATATCTTTTGAATTATAATTCAATAATTATTTAAAATTTTAAAATTTTATTATAATTAATAAAATTCTTAATCTTTTATTTCGATTCAATTAAATTTTTAAATAAACAAAATTTAATTACGTGATAAAATTTAATCAATTAATTCTCGAACTATAATTAATTAAATTTTTAAAGAGAAAAAGACAAAGAAAATAAAAAAAAAAAGATAAAAAAATATTATTTTATTTAATTTTCACATATATTAATTACATTAACTGATAAATGTTTTTATTTTTTTATTGATATCACATAAAATTTTATTTTAATTGAAAAAAATTAATGATGTACAATTTTTCATTCAAATAAACACTTAATAAGATGCAAGTAATTATTAAAATAATTGCTTAATTACAATAAAAAATAAAAATTTAGATGATTTTTTAATTATAATTCAAAAATTTTTATACCCTTTCACAAAAAATAAACAAACCACCGAGTTACATAAATACTTCTTGGATCAATGGACCCTGTTTTTGACAAATTGTCTTTCTATTCACAAATGTCCAAGGTTAAGTTTAGTTCAGAACAATGACCCCAATGAAAATTACCGGCAGTCTGAGCCTTTGCTCTTATTAACATTGACGTTGGACAACATCGGTCCCATGTTTTCTGTGATTTTCGTTTTGAAGATTTATTATTCTATAGTGTTTTCCCAACCCCAACTATAAACAAAACCGTACCAGCTCAAGCTTTTTCTATAAAGAGCTCATACAAACAAGGAGACCAACACAAACCATAAGTAACGGTAGAGAGTTTTCATTTGCTTCAGTGAGAGAAGTGCTTGAAAAATAAAACCAAAGATGCGTTTAATCTCTTGGGTTTTAGGATTTATTTTCCTTATTCCTCTGCTTTTCAGCTGTGCTCAGGGTGCTGTTTATAAGTATTATTGGGTTGTAAGTGTATAGCTACTCAATATGCCAGTGTTATTTCGTTACGTTTGGATCATAGCATAGTCCTAGAAACTAACAAAAATATTATGGAATAATATTTGTAGGTGAAGCAGACTAATTTTACAAAGCTGTGTACCAAATCCACTGTTCTTACTGTGAACGACAGCTTTCCAGGTCCAGAGATTCATGCTGCGAGAGGTGATACCGTTTTTGTCACTGTCCAGAATGACGGGCCATATGGAATCACTATTCATTGGTATATTGATATTTTCTCTTAAGCAATCTCTTGAAGATTCATTTCTAGGAAAACTGAGGATGTTTAAATTAAAGAAAAGGCCAGATTAAGAAAATTTTGATATTTGCAGGCATGGAGTTAGACAGCCGAGGAATCCATGGTCAGATGGTCCAGAGTACGTTACTCAATGTCCAATTAAGCCTGGGGGAAAATTCACACAGGAGATCAATTTGTCAACGGAGGAAGGAACACTCTGGTGGCATGCCCACAGTGACTGGTCGCGTGCCACTGTTCACGGAGCCATCAAAGTTTTTCCGGCCAAGGGAACCAGTTACCCGTTCCATAAGCCTGATGGAGACCAAACTATTGTATTCTGTAGGTGAACCAGTACTGATGATCGGAATGATTAAGAGCATGCTGATAAGTTTAAATGAAAAGTTTTCTCCCTATCAATTTGTTTTTGACAGCTTTGATGCGTGTTACAAACTGTTAATCAACACCTTTTTCTTGGTCGCAGCCTCCTGGTACAAATCAAAAGTGATGAATGTGTTAGACGAAGCTCTCGCAACCGGCGGTGATCCAAACATTTCAGATGCTTACACCATCAACGGTGAACCTGGAAATTTGTACAACTGCTCTAAAGGTATATAAATCAAAATAATCTAGAGATACTTTAATCAGTTTACTGTTAGCAGGGTTAATGTATTGAATTGTGGTTAAGATACATTTAACACTCCAAGTTCTGTTAGTTTGGAGTCCAACTGGCAACTACCTAATTGTAATACTTTTGGCATGAGTAGTAATTTTGTCAAACTAGATTCACAATTATAATTATATGCTTTATCTGATCAAGAATTTGATTTGTAGAAGTTAATTCAAGTTTATAAAGCCACTACATAACGTTCAACACTTCAACTTGATGCAGGGATAACATCAATATTTTTTTAAAATTGAATTTGTTTCAAATCAATAATGCCAATTGTATGATTTGTATCCGGTTGCAGAAACAATGTACAGTTTGTTGGTTAAGACTGGCAAGACTTATCTCCTCCGCATTGTCAACGCAATCCTGAATGAAGAAATGTTCTTCGCCATAGCTCACCACAACATGACCGTTGTTGGGTCGGACGGAGCATATGTCAAACCCTTTTCTACTGATTATTTGTTCATCACCCCAGGCCAAACAATGGACGTTCTGGTTACAGCAAACCAATCAGCAAGTTACTATTACATGGTTCTTACTCCTTTTCTTGATACTGAGTCTTCATATGACAACACGACCTCTAGGGCACTTATCAGATATAGTGGAAATTATGCAACTCCAAGGTCAATTCCTACTCCAAAATTTCCTAATATCAGTGACTCAATATCTGCACAACTCTTTGTTGTTCGCTTGAAGAGTTTAGCAAATGCAGCTCATCCAATCAGTGTCCCCAAAAACATCACTAGACGATACTTCATTACTGTTTCTGTGAATCTAGTCGCTTGTCCCAATTCAACAGGTTGTACAGTTTCCGGTAATAATAAGCTGGCAGCAAGCTTAAACAACAATAGCTTTGTGTTGCCATCAACTTCTCTGCTGCAAGAATATTATGACAATAACTATAATGTGAGCCGTATTGCTGATCAGTTACCGAACAAACCGCCTACTCCGTTTAATTACACAACAGTGGCGAACATGTCTACGTATACAAGCGAAGGAAGACGGGTTATAAAATTGAATTATGGTGACGAAGTGGAAATTGTGTTCCAAGGAACGAACATAGGAGCCACGCAGAATCATCCCATGCATCTTCATGGCTACAGCTTTTATTTGGTTGGAACGGGGTCTGCTGATTTTGACAATGGCACAGATCCTGGAAGGTTCAATTTGGTTGATCCACCAGAGGTCAACACAATTGCAGTCCCTAGAAAAGGATGGTCTGCTATTAGATTTAAAGCTGATAATCCTGGTATACATATTTCTTCTCTTATATCTTCCTAATTACAGTACTAATTAACATATTCGATTTATGCACTAATTTAAAAAAAAAAAAAAAAAACCCAATGTTTATAATTTGTTTTCCTTTTTGTATCAGGGGTTTGGTTTATGCACTGCCATTTCGAGCGGCATACGACTTGGGGAATGAGCACTGTTGTCATAGTGAAGGATGGACGCACCAAGAAAACAAGCATGCGTCCACCACCTTCCTATATGCCTCCTTGTTCTTAAGTTTGCATCATCTAGTGTGCAGGGTTTGTTAAACATATTGAGTGTATGACTTGATAAAGTCGTTCACACTATAAAATAATATTTTCTATGAAATTTCTATCTCGTTTGTCTATAATTGGCTAGTTAAGTGCCCAACACCTATATCCATTCGTTTGCAAGACGTGTCAAAAGAGGTATCTCTCAACTAAATCCAATGGTTTTTCTAAAACTGTGATACAACTTACAAGAGGAAATGCAGACTGAACCAACACAACTACGGTTTTTGGATTGAATTTGGTATCTAGATCGTTGTTTTTATTCTAAGGGATGAAATGGTGATGACGCTTCATTTTTTTTTCCCACATTTTTGAATAGCTGTTTTTATTCCAAGGTTTTTTCGGCTCCGCCTTACACATGGAGTAATTTGAGTTAATTAATAGCAATTTATTTTTATTTTTTTATTTGGAAAAAGGTAAGATTTTAACTTAACTTTTTAAAAATATATATTGATTTATTATTGAGTTAAATATTAGTATACTATTGACATTTTATTCTGTTTTTTATTTTTAAAAAGTATTATTATTATTTTTTACAAATAAAAAATAGGGATAATGTACTAAGATTAGACATTTATACAGGTCAAGCATGCAGTAGGCTTGCAAGCCTATTCAGACTTCAACTTGGATTGATCCTTAATATTATGATTTTAATAAACAAATGATTTTATTTAATTTTAATTATAAATATATCTAAAAAAATTCAAATATTGATATAAAACTTTAAATATTCAATCAAATTTAAATTGAAAAATTAATTTAAATCCAAAATCAAATTTTAAAAATATCATCTAAACCAAATTTAATCCGACCTCATTCAATTACATGAATCAAAACATTTTTTATTATTTAATTTTAAGGCCAAGTGAAAAGCATCTAATTAAAATTAATATAAATTTGGACACAACTCATAACCTAACTACACTTGAACAAAAAAATTGGACTAGGAATTAAATGATTGAAAATTTTTATCCCACTGGCCCAACTTTTGTTTTGTATTCCAATCGGTAGTGGTTTATATACGCCATAAAAGTTACATGTTTTCATTGTTTTTTATTTATTTATGTACGCGGTTTCTCTTTTGGACAGGCTAGTAAAATAGTAGAAAAGGTTAGATTTACGATATCTATAACTATATATAAAAGAGTCTCCCAACTCCAATTAATTTCAATTTTTTGCCAAATCAACATTTTCACTATTCATCCAAATCATCTAATAATTCTCATATCAGTAAACAATTGCATTATTAACACCACAACTTTTGCCACATATCTTTTTTTTTTTTTTTTTTACCTTTAAATGTTAGAAAAAAAATTGTTTAAATCTCAAAAAGATAAAACACTTCTAAACAAAGAAGCTTATGGAGACAGACACAAAAAAAAAAAAAAAAGAAGAGAAAGGGGACGATAAGAGAGAAGAGAAGGTGGCAGAAGAAGAACAGAATCACTAACCAACATTGAAGGAAGCTGCAATCAACTTTGAATGACTAAATGTAGAGGTTGGGAGAAACGGAAAGATAGAGGGAGGGAAAATAGAGAAACTAAGGCATTGATGGATTGATCTGCTATGTTTAGTCAAATAGTTGTCTGATCGATGTCAGAAAGTAGTGTAAGATCAAGAATCATGGGCATTATTCTACACTATACAATTGCTTTGCTACATTTTCTTTGATTAGTGAATCTAGCCTCTTATTTTAGCCATTATAATTGCATGTCTAATCTGTGCTTCTCTTTTTGCTTCATATTAAAAGATGCCTTTGAATTTGGTCTTTTTCTACCCTAAACCTGTTGCTAATCAGAAGACAGAATATGGAACCTTTGTTGTTTAATTTTTTGGCTCTTAATTGCTTGAAATGTGGTGGAAGACTTGCTTTTATGTGTAGAGAGTGGAAGATAGCTATTGCTTGCATTAAATATTTGGAGTCTACAAATTTTCAGATAGAAAATAACCATTTGAGGCTTTCTGGGCATAAGGGGATAGATCCTTTCATATAGGGGATCGATTGGGTGAAACAAAATGAAAGCCGTTTTCATGCATTAAATGGTCACCTGATCGATCAGATAAGGGACCTAATTGATCCTCTATCCCGGGTGATCAATCCCTTATGTAGGGTGATTGATCCTTTTTGTAAAATTTAGAAACAATTTGGCTTCTGATTAAAAAATGAATTGATCCCTTATAGGGGAGGATCAATCGAGTCATTTTTCAACCTTAGCCAATCGATCTATATAGGGAAATGATCGATTGATCCTTGAAAATTTTCCACAAGATAGGCTACTGGTAAAAAAAGGGTCAATTCCTTGAGCCAGGAGATCAATGGGGTCATGTGAAGGGATTAATCCTTCCCCTTAAGGGATCGATCCTTTCTACCCCAATTTGTCTAAAACTCATTTTTGTTTCAAGAATTTGTTTTGTTTTGGTTCAAAAATGCTTTTGGCAAGATAGAGGGCTAGAAAAATGTTTAATTTGAGATTAAATCAATTTGACTAAAGTTAAGCAAAATTTTATTTTGTCATTTCAAAATACTTTGATCAATTCAAAGCTAACAATTTTTTCACTTTTTGATATGACAAAACCAAATGAAAAAAAAATTACTTTGAAAAACATTTTTCCATTTGAAGGTAGGCTACTTTAAAAAAAAAATTTAACAAGCTAAAAACAAGAACATAACTGTCCATTATTTGTTGGCACATTAAGCACAATATCAAGAGCATTAAAATTTAAAGGCAATTTCAAGATATTCATTTAAGCATAAGCCTAAAGATTACTCCCTCTATAACAAGTATTTAATCCAAAATAATTTTTCTCCCTGTTAGCAAGTCATCAAATTTTCAATTTAAGCAAATAAGCAATGTGATCAAATTTCATTTGATACCTTCTTCCCTTCCACAAAACCTTTTCCAACTTTAGCAAAAATTTCATTTCATTACTTCTCCCTTTTTTGTCATAGCAAAAAGCAAAAAACAATCAAAGTACTATGGTAATCAATTTAAGGTAACAATAAGCACAATATATGTTCAAATCAAACAAACTTAATATCATTACTCAATGCCATAGCAAGTCAATCAAAATACCACTTGCCACATAACGTCAATTTTAAACCAACTCCAACACAATATTTCAAATGTCATTATGAAAATGAAATGCATTTATCATTAATATAAATTTTAAGTACCAAGGTTTAAAAACATAATGCAAAATGTCTTTAAGAAAATTAAAACTTAAAAAGATAGATATATAGGGAAAATAGCTAAGGCATGGCATTAAGGTGGATCATTAAGAAGGAGAATAAAGTGAGAAATGGTGGAAGTGCTGGTTCATCTTAGTCCTCATTTGACGAATTTCTTCAGTCATTGCCTTTTGATTGAACTATAAATTTTTGAGTCTTGAGTTCATATCCCCAACCACGGAGTGCAAGCTATTCATTTGAATTATCATAATTTGTAATGCACCTTGAATATTAAACGATGGACAAGAGGGGTCTTGTTGAGGGACATTTGGAACATTTGTAGCATCATGCTCTTTTCTTTTTGCACAACCCCAATTTTAATCTTTCTAATCCATAAACTAATTGCATTTTGTGTATAACCCATACTATGCAAAATATGAATTCCAAGAATGCTATATGGGTCGTTAAACACAATCTCTCTATCATTCCTAGTTTTAATACCCAATTTCTTCAATAGATTTCTTATAGTAAACCCATAGACCAAAGTATAATCTTTGTTTTGCACCACCCTTATTATGTCATTAAAGATAAAGTGCATAAGATTAGGTTTCTCTTCATGTTTGATCTTGTACATCCACTAGTAATCTTATTTTTCAATAGTTGAATATTGAGTGCCAATTGGTACTAAAACATGGGTAACTATAAGATGCAACAATCTATCATGCATAGAAAATTTAGTGGCATGTGTAAATGAAACTCTAAAGTTTTCATTCCCAAAAATGTCTTGAGCCAAATCTAACATATCACACCTAGTGTTTATATCTCCATCATCATCTAGCATAAAAGTTTCAGCCAATAATTATTTATTAACCATAATCTCTCTACCCATCACAAAAGTTCTAAATCTATCAAGATAATATCTATTTTCATTCCCTTTAATCTTAATACATGTAGCATTACTATAAAATATCTTAACTAGATTCTCATAAACTATCCCATCCATGCATAAATAATTTATCCAATCAAAATCCTTAAATACATGCAAATAAAGAAACTCAATAGATTGGAAAATTTTAAGAGATATTATCCTTCTGTGCATAATCTTCCTATAAGGGCTTAATTGATGAATTAGAAGCCTCCCTTAAAGGATTCTTTCTTGGTTCAACACCTCCTTTGGTTTTAGGTGCCATATTTTTGAAAATTTGGATATGAAAAAATAGGTAAGCTTTTATAAAAGTGATGAAGGAAACTAATAATGTAGGCGATATGAAGTGATATATGTTTGTAATGAGCAAAGATATTAGGTGAATGATTAAATTTCAAAAAAGGGATCAAAATTCTAAAAAGAGAAATTGGTATGAGTAATTTGAGATGATTTTGGAATGATTTTTATGAAAATAGATGAAGATTTTGCAAGAAAACAAGAAAATTTGAAGATTTTTGCAAGAAATTTTGATTAAAAAGGATGAGTTTTGAAAGAATTTGTGGGAGAAAAAACTAGGGCTTAATGAGGTAATGGAATATGAAGAGGAAGGGTGAGGTCCATGTAGGGTATTGATTAAAAAGAACCAGAATTTTTAAAGCCAAAATAGGGCATTTCACAAGCTGCCAACCTATTTGATCAATCGGGTCCCTTAGGAGATCAATCGATTCATGAAATTCTCAAAGTCTATTTCACTACTAGTTGAAAAATAAGTCGATCCGTTCATTCATAGGATTGATCGGTTCACATGTAGCCAATTTTTTTTTTTAAATGCATGCAATATGATGAATCAAACCTAGATCAAATAATCACCAATATGATCATAAATAATTTATAAAAAATTTATCAAAAAAGCACATATTTATTCAACAAAGCACAAATATATCAAGAATTACATTTCATGGAGTATTCATCATACCAAGTTCACCTTTAATTGTGTAAAATTTATCTCTATCAAAAGGTTTTGTAAAAATATTAGCTAATTGATGCAAGGTATTATTATAATGTATAAGTTCGAAAACTCGATCATTAAATATAAAAATTTAAAATCGTGAAA